GGCACGAGTCATCCGAGGAACTCCGAGTGATTTGACGCCAATATGAAATTAATACTTATTCTCAAAAGGAATACATATATGATTAATGTGAAAGCACAGACACCTAACTGACGTTACTTAGTTTTCTTTTGATAAAAAAATATACCCCCTACCTTATAATTAGAATTAAAATAAGTAATGTCAGTTTCCTGAGTGTGAAAGCATCACTTAACTGTATTAAAGATATAGGCAAGGTTATTTTATTATTTTTTTTTATCAAACTCAAAGGTCAAGATTAAGAGGTACAATGTGAAAACTTTTGTACTTTGCATAAACTATTCAAAAGATGTCACCAAATTTGTAAAAGGTTTTCCAAATGAATGTCAAATTCTTCAATTAATGTCTAAAAATGTTGGTGCCCATGGAATGAAAGCATTTGTCATATAAAGAACCCCAGGACCCCGGCATCACTAGTCAGGTGCTCTACCCAAAAAAAAATAAATTTAAAACATATGTATTATATTATAATAAACTTCTACAAAATTAAGGGAGAAAATATTTCAAAGACTTTTCGTACAGACAAAAATATGGATACAAAGCTGGAGATAAAAGATAGACAGAGTAACTATAAAGTTAATTTGCATAGGTTTAATGACCATATAACTATTGTAAATAACACCCCTTAATTTTAATTTATTTTAATTTAAACGTACTCTCCACACAGGTTGAGATAGATATCTGAGGTATTTAAATCACATGACCTGGTAACAGGTAAACATTTAGAATGAAGACAAGGAAGTAAATTGTGATATACAAGATTATTGGGGAGGCCATGTTGGATTTAGAGGTGAGACAAGATTGTATTTAGAAAATTTAAAATGTTGCAAAACATTTCCAGATATCATTATTGATCTCAAGTCTAATACACATATAAAACAATAGATAAATTGCATGAGAGGGCCACTTTTTATTATATTTATTAACTACATGAACTGTTTTGACTGTTATCTAACATTTTTTCCTGATTTTTTTTTCAAACATAAGAAAAGTTTACATGCCATTTTAAAACTACAATTGTATCATGGCTGCGGTGTTTTTCCTTTGAAGTCAAGTGTACAATAACTGGAGATACACCGATGGGCGGAGCCAGCAAAAACTGTGCCGTGTAAATAAATTATTGAACACCAAGGCGATTTCATCATTTTAAATTAAATGTATATTGAAGTAATAGTTATTGTATATTTATTATGGTGTATCCTGAGTTATTTGGACGAAGGGCGGTGACGGGTGCGAAGCACGAGTTCCGCCCTTCGTCCAAATCAATCAGGATACACCATAATAAATATTCAATAACTTTCTTGTATCATGGCCAATCAAACGTCATGTCACAGATTTTCAGCATGATTTTTAATTACACCAATAGAAAATGTAGTTTCTGTCAGGTGACCGCATGGATAATTTCTCCTTTCTGTCAGTATTTTTAATAAACATTCTATGTGCGTGTGTTCATGAGAAAGGACGTCGGATTGCAGCATCCCAGCCCCCCCCCCCCCCCCCCCGGATTTTAGAGTGTGGTGCAAAGGGTTTTTTCCTTGTCAACTGTTTTTGGAGGCCCCCTTTCTTTTAAATGTAGCTTCGGACTTAAAGTGGCCGGTGTGATTCTGTGCATGAGTGCTTGGGGCACCAACCTGGAGCCTCCCCCCTTTCAAAAATGGCTGGATTCGCCCCTGGATTGTTAATGAAATTCACAAGAAAGCCTTTGGATATCAAAGAAGAAAAAATCGAAGTTGAAGAAGGTAAATTCAAGTGTTATTCGAAAATAAAGAAAAAAGATACCCGTTGATCATTTGACATATTCGAGAGCTGTGTCAGGGTCAATTACTCTTCATCTGTGGATACAGTACAGCGTAAGCCCTATATTACATTAGGTGGGGTATTTTAATATATTTCTGTGTGGAATTCATGTCAAGAATTTGATTTCGCGTTGCTGTGGATTGAATATTTGAAGAGCTCCGTAAAATCATTTCGTAGTTTGGGATATATAGGTACTGTAATTTATGTGAAAGACTTTTATTTCGCTTGCAGCATTTTTTGCATTTGTATATTACAAAGTCCATTCATTCTGTAATTTAGATTCAATATACATGTAATTTAAAATGATGAAATCGCCTTGGTGTTCAATAATTTATTTACACGGCACAGTTTTTGCTGGCTCCGCCCATATACACGGCACAGTTTTTTCTGGAAACGCCCATCGGTGTATCTCCAGTTATTGTACACTTTACTTCAAAGGAAAAACACCGCAGCCATGATACAAATTACAGAATGAATGGGCTTTGTAATATACAAATGCAAAAATTCTGCAAGCAAAATAAAAGTCTTTCATATGAATTACAGTACGTATATATCCCAAACTACGAAATGATTTTACGGAGCTCTTCAAATATTCAATCCACAGCTGGTGTTGCTAAAACGCGGAACGGAAAACGGAACGGAAAGCGGAACGGAACGGAAAACGGAAAGTTTAAGTCAAACAAATAAAATAGATTCGATATAAAACAGATTAAAAAAAAGCAAATTTCTTGTTGTAAAAGTCATTTCTAATGAAAAATAATTGTACTATTACATATTCTTGAATTATGTATACCCTCCGTGGAAAAAATGGTACCAAAGGAAATTCGACCCCCCCCCCCCACACACACACACACGAAATAGGATTTTCTTGTTTGGGCAAAGGGCATATGCCCTTTTTTTGCTTGTCAAATTTGTTGCATGTTGGAAATTATTTACTCCCCCCCCCCACTTTCAATTTTTTTCCAATGTATTGTATATTGTTTAACGTCCCTCTCGAAAAAGGACAAGTGCACTTAAGCAATACTAAATGGGCCCTTTTTATGTGCCATTTTATTTAGAATATATCACCAAATTGCTCTCTTTTGGTAATAGTTAGATACTAGTGGCTATTTCTAATTAAAAAGCACGTTAGGCATCACCTAATTCAGCGTAGATTTGAAACAATTGAATATCTTAAAATGCCCATGGATACCCTTAATCCGGAAAAATCGTACCGAATCTTCTTTGAGTTTCGTTTATGTAAATCACAGGGAATAGATATTTCAATCGACACTTGAACAGTCTGATGGTGGATCAAAGTCGGGCGCGTTTGCGGAATGTTATTTTTTGCGCCAAATCTGTTTTTTTTTAAATGCATGAATTTGTGCAGTTTCCTGTAGCCACAATGATCAAACTCAGGAATTGGTACTCTTGCATTTGGAAAAAATTCAATAATAGCTTCATTGAATATGAAATTCAAAAAGGAGTGTTTAGTTGGCTTTCAATACCTGTTTCACTGTCTTGCACGAATGTTTAAACATGTTTGACATTTTTATAAATGGCACTAAACTCTCCTTACCCATCCCGTGTTCTTAAAAAGAAATACATACAAATATTTCTAAGAGGCATGGCTTTGACTAAATGATACAAAAGCTGCCGATGTTTTACAATGAGCACCTTTGAGGAAAGCACTCGCGTGGCTATAAGTACTTTAAATAATTTATTCAACACGTGGGTTCAACATGGGTCATACAGGTAAAGTAGCTCTCACTTGCTATAGGAAAAACATTGTACTTTTTGTACATTTTTAATATTTTAAGTACCAGCCTAATCGTGTACAAATTTCCTACTTTCACATAAGTTTTATAAATGTATTATGCGTCTTTTGTCATTCGCACAACTTTGTACAAAGTTAGGCTCATAGTAAACAAAAGCTTTGAAAAGCATGACCCTTCTCGGTTTACTATAGAAAATCACTAATGTCGGCCGACCCCTGCCACATTCTATGGTTTTGTTTGGTTGTATATTCTTGAATTTAAGCAGTAAAATTTGTTGAATTGTACGGTTTAGACATAAATTAATGATTTGGGATGAAAAATTTTGCTTAATGTAATTGTTTATTTTTTCACATTTTACCGGGGCCCATAAGTGCACTCCTTCTTTTTACTCATATGGAGACGTCACCGTATGCCGGTGAATGGCTTCAAATTAAGACGTATACTCGGCAATCAGGGCCATTGAGCAGTGAGGGTTCTTTATCGTGCCAGCGCCAACCGTGACACGGGACCTACGTTTTTAAAGCTATCGTGCAAAGTCTTAAACCTATTATACGCAACGAGCAAAGCGGTGTCCGCCATTATAGTAAGATAAATATTAACCACTTTATCGGCATGTTTTTCATGGATTCTTTGGGACTCATTGGGTGCAATATAACATACAATACTTATTACACTGAGACAAAAAAAGATGAAAAGGTATAAACTCGTCTGCAGGAGAAACAAAGAGCATGGCTAACCTTAAAGTCTCCTAAGTTGTATGTGTCTGCGATTCTGACTCTGCTGATTGACAGGAACGCAGTGAATGAGATAATACAACAGGTGGCGCCACAACATACACGGACAGTTCTCCAAGATGTCTGCAGCACAGTCAGTGGAGATTACCACAATTTATGTTTGTTCCAGCTCATAAATGCTTCTACCTATCCTCATGTTTGAAAATGTACAGAACTTGCCAACATTTAAAAAATGAGTCACCTGATCATCATGCAACATCTTTTCAGTGATTGAATTTGATTTATGTTTTAAGCCAGATGCTAGGGGATCTACAATTTTGAAATAGGCCCCATTGATCATCATAACTATACACTTAACAATCGCTTAGTTAGGTTACTTAATACACATAGGCATGGTAGGGGAACAAATAAATGTATTTCAACTAATCAGTAATATTCACCATTTAATCAGTAGTGCCCACACTACGCATGGACCCCTGACCTTAGGTCTAAACATTGCACAATTTTTGAAAAGGCACCCTTGCTTTTCAAAACAGATTTTAAACAATTCATTCATTTTCAGTAAATAAGTAAAGCCCCCTAACTCTATGGTACCCCTTACCCTGGGGCCTTAAAATTCACTGCTCTGGAAAATTAGGACCCTTGCTCATCATAACTATATGGGTAGGGTAGTTCATCTGCTAAATAGCCAGGGGTAGAGAAGAAATTTTTCAAAGATTTAATGTATTTTCACTTTATAATCAATAGAGCCCTGGCCTAACACCAAAACCCCTGATTCTGGGGCCATAGAATTCACAATTTTGAAACAGGATTTCTTGCTCATCATAACTTTGCGCATATTTTATTTAATACCAAGGAACAGCGAAGAGGATTTTTTTAAAAGAATATATAAATGTATATTCGCTATATAATCAATAGAAACTGGTCTTGACATCACAAAGCTGACTCTTGGGCCATAAAATTCACAATTTTGGTAGAGGCACTCTTTGTCATCATAACTATGCGCTTGGTTAGTTTATGTAGTACTCAGGATCTAAGAAGAAAATTTTTAAGGAACTTATGCATTTCCACGATATACTTATTTTAGCCCCGCCCAAGCAATAAAACCCCTAACGCCAGAGCCATGAATTTCACAATTTTGGTAGCGGACTCAATGCTGATTACAATCATGCAAACAGTTTGACTGGTTGATGTCCAGAAGTAGAGAGGAGATTTAAAGGTTGCATTAATTTTAGTGGTTTTAGCCCCACCCCTCAGGTCCCAGGGATAGGAATCATGAAATTCACAATTTTTGTTCCCCTTCACCAATAGATGCTTTCATCCAAATTTGGTTGAAATCGGTTTAGTGGTTGCGGTGAAGAAGCTTAAAATGTTCAAATGTTAACGCACAACGAAAACGGATAGAGAAAGGTCACCCAAGCTTACTCATTGTACCTAAAAATTGCTTCAACTTGTAAGCAAACTTGTATGCCTTTTTATAATATTACTCTTGATTCATAAAG